CTAGCTTTGCCAAGATGTTTTACTTAGTTATTAACATCGAGGGGAAAACGTATAACTAGCGAGGCTGTCTAAGAAATTGATAATACTTTGGGGGTATTGTTCCTAGAAGAAAGAAATTTTAAACAAAATATTAGAACACGTCAATACACAACTAACACGCACAATGACAGCCAGATGGGCTCTTCTCGGCTCCAAAATGATTTTTTAAGCAATGGAACGCCTGCGGCCAGCAATAGAATGAACAATACAGGTACATTACTTTTTCTGTTTGTGATAGGGGGTTACTTAACCTACATAGTAACCTACATAGTAATCAACGTGCTCATAATGATGTTCGTGATCGTGGTGTACGGGATGATGGTGTTGGTCGTAACGTGAAATGTGGGCTGAAGAGAATGCGTGTTCATTTGCATGACTCAACGCAATGGCTAACGTGGTCAAAACTGCAATGTACAACTCCTGAAAAAGAAAATTAAGACAATGAAAATAGGGTGATTTTTTTAAAATAATGAATAAATGATGTTCAATAAGTATATGTTTATTCAAATATTACCAATCAGTACAGTATAATATCTATTAATTTACCTTGAAATACATTGTTATTCTTTTTTATTGTATAAGACTTTAAAACGAAAAGTATTTGTATTGCTTGTTTGAGTTCAGTTAATTAATTGATATGGGAACCAAAGTTTTCACGTCTTTTATATCTAAATATTTACACCAATCAAGGTTGTGAATGATTTCTCTACAAATTTATGACAGTTATATTAAAAATTGTAATAGTAACGTGAACGTTTATTTCACTGCTAAGTTACACGTGTATAAAGAGTGCAATGTTTTAAGAGGCTTACGATTTCTTGACATATCCATTAAAAATAAACAAAAATATAAGTCAAATAGTATCATATATATAGTCTATATCGATACGAAGGCGCCACTGAAAATTTCGGGAGTCAAGGAAGTGACACAACATTACTATTTAAAAATGTATTTATTGCTTTTCGAAGTATTCTCCGCGATATTTGACACATTTTTCCATTCGATGGATGAAGAACATTCCATTCGGATTGGATGGACCCGAAATGGCCGTTTTGTAGGCGTCCACAGCTTCTCCAGGTGATGAAAATCTCTGTCCACGCAATTTGTTCTTTATTTTAGGGAAATTATAGAAATCATTAGGGCTTAGGTCGGGGCTGTACGGCGGATGGTCTAATAATTCTATGTTTTCTTGCTCTAAAAACTCTTTTGTTCTGTGTGCGGTGTGAGAACTCGCATTGTCGTGATGGAGGATGATGCGGCGGTTGCAGTTCTCTTTACGGAGTTCAGAAAAGACCTGTGGCAAACAAATGCTACCATACCATTCTGCATTAACCGTTCTTTGTCTCTCAAGAGGAATAGTCGAAAACATTTTTTTGAGACAAACGTGGCCACCATTTTTTTTGCAACACTCCGTGAACGAACAATTTTTGTTGGCTTTAAGTCATTTTCGAACACCCAAACTCGTGACTGGTTTTTTGTTTCGGGTTCGTACGCGTATGTCCAGGATTCGTCCCCTGATACGATGTTGTATACAGCATTTGAGGATCCTGCGTGGAATCTTTTGAGAGTTCTGACACACCAAGTAACGCGAGCCGCTTTTTGCTCTTCACAGAGCGAATGCGGTATCCATCGGGAAAACAACATTTTTACATCTAATTGTTCATGCAAGATTATTTGTATTTGACTCATACAAATGTCTAAAGTGGCCTAATTTCGCGGTATGTCACATATCGATCTTCCTCAATAGCTTACTCACAGCATCAACGTTTTCTTGGGTGACTGCAGTTTTTGGACGACCTTGACGGGGATCATTACTGAGTTTGACACGTCCACATTGAAATTCAGCAAACCAGAGATAAATTGTGGTTTTGGATGGAGCTTCATCACCAAATGCAGAAATCATCCGTTCAACACACTGTTTTTGTGTTAAACAAAGAGATTTAAAATATATATACTATAGCGCGGGCATTGGGAACATTTACATACAAAACCTGTGAGTGCCCGCTGTGTTTCACCCTCTAGCAAAATATAGCAATGCTACACTGAATACTTGTTTGGATAATATTGCAGCTATGCCTTATTAGGTGACTCCACTAATTATAAGGTAAAAATCCGTTTTAGACCCGTCCCGATTACTGGATAGCAGAGGGCACTTATTGTAATAATCTTTCTTTCTTCTAGAACAATCTACTAGAAATAATAAAATTTAAAGATTATTTGGTAAATATACATTATTCTTAGGATAATAAACCGAAATTATGTTCGTTTTTTGCTCCATATCGTGACTTACAATAACTTAATGCCCAACCGGGGATATTTTCTTTAAAAATATTTTTTTAAATTTATGAAACGAATACGTCTTGACCTTTTGATGATGTCACTAAGACTAAATGACAAAAATCGGAGTTATATCCTTAGGACAAAAGTTAAAGACAACAATTTCGTTGCTTATGTCCGGTTTATTACTACTACATACTCGTACTTAAATGTCTTTGGTGTTAAACCACTTCGTACATAATAGTACATAATAAATCATCGCTCTTGAATTTTCTCGAGTCAATTCCATTTTCTCAACGACTAAACGAGTTTGACAAAACCTTGTGACAAGACCGAGAATCTTTTTTTAAATAAATAAATGGTATTCGATTTTTAAAACCAAGGAGTTTTCAATTAAAAAGATTTTAATATGACAGGAACAGTGGTAATATTCCATTCCCGATACTTTTAGTGTAGCCTATTCAGGTTTGATAAAAAAAATTGAATGGATGTATACATTGTGTTGCAAATAGTTTATAAATCAGGCTAAATTTATAATTTTTGATAATTTAGATAATTAAATAACTAGATGCTTATTAAGTTTATTTCTAATTGTCAAGATCAGTGTTAAGTAGGAAGTAAGTATTTAATTTTTTCCGTAAATTTTTCATTAAAGAATCATTCTTGGATTAAGTTTTATTTAAATTATGTATAAGTGGGTAAAATTTTACTTTTATTTTGAGTGTGAAGTTACGATGTATTTTTTAGGTTGGTTATTAGAATTGAAAGAAAACTTATTTAACAAATTTTAACAAATTTTTTCAAATAAAAATGTATATCATAGTGTATTTCAAAAATCCTTGTTAACCACATACACTAAACTTAACATACAAGCGTCATGATTGTAGTCATATGACAGATTTGATCCCAAGACGTTCAAGAGTTGCCGAGTTAATATGTAGTAGAGCGATGCTGCAGTTATATTAGTATTATAGTTGTAGCACGAATGAGTCAGCTCGACCGGGGAAGTACTATACTCTCACAGAATACCAGTGTAAAACAGTAGCTTATTGCTGCTGTGTTTCGTGTGGTCAGTGTAGAGAACCGTGGACCCTTTTTACTGGAAACGAGCCATTCCATCTTAGTTCTCACGGGTGACAACGCATCTGCATTTTGATTTGTAATCGAGGAAAGATGTAGATGTCTGTGCGCCGCAGCAACCACTTACCATCAGGTGGACTGTGTGCTCGTTTGTCACCCTATTCTATAAGAAAAACATATCCTTATTTAACGGAATTGATCGCATATCTTTATTAATTTAAGAATTTGAAGTATAGGAAATCAAGATTTAATAGATGCGAATTACTAGAGACTTGTATATTAAAGTATCTTAGAGCTCAGTACTTCCATATGCCATGTTTGTATCTTCACTATATTAATCTTTCAGATTTCACTTTTCATGAAACCTTGTCCGTTGTCCTTGTCTAGTTTTTCATATTCTTGTATACTAATGTAATATTCCAATTTCCAAATTTCAGAGCACTAATGTTTAATATCAGCAAATTATTCCCATGTAAGTGTATAATCGAGAACATTTTTTTATTTGTCGGTTCTTCAAGCTATGCGGCCTTCCGATGCTACTTCAGTTTGCTGATCGGCTGTGCTATCAAATGAAACATTTATTACGTCGACAAATTCCACAAATTTAATGTAATTTTTCAAGTCCACTATAATTTTAAATATTTTATTTATTTAAAAAAGAATAATACTATAATAGCGTAATATTTAAAAAGCAATTGATGTACATCAGTCTCGCTAAAACTAAGAACGACTCGACCGATTTTGATGAAATTTTTTGTATGTGTTTGAATGGATCCCTGAACGGTTTGTATTTACAATTGGATCCGGTAGGCGACGCTGTTGTCGAGATCCAGAGATCAACTATACGAAGCTGGAGCGGATCGCTAGTATTTATATAGAATTAAAAATATGGTATTTGAAGCACGTTGTACAGGTCAAAAAATGAAACTTTAGAGCCTATCAGTGCATAACAAACCCGAGCAGACCATTCTCCACAAGCAGTTCCTGTTCAGAAGTATGAGGAATATGGATGTCATAGCCCTCCACTACCATGTTAATTCTCGTTCTTCTGCGGATAACCTGTTTACGGATCTTATGTCACATCCCAAATTGCGAGCAAAGCATTTGCCATCGCGTGCGAAGTAACTTTGAGCTGCCTCATATGATCAGCGGTGAGGGCTAATGCTTAGATTCCGTAATTAATGGAAAACATAATTATTTTATAAATTAATTTGACTCTTCAATTATTATTAAAATAAAACAAATGGATTATATTAAATTAATTTCATGACTTTTATGTTAAAATTAATATTAAATTATCAAGGCTAATAGATTTCACATTATTTTAATAGTTTTATAGTAAAAGTTCTTGCGATAATTGAGATTATTAAACAATCTAACGAAATTAATATTAAACCGTTACGCTATTAGATATGTACTCTACATAAAACTGGTTGGAGTTTTGTTATGCTAACGAAATAAGTCAGCACATTTGGTAGATATTACTATACGCCTCGGCTATACTCACGAGTATATATAACACGAGTAGGCTTATCTGTGTTCATAGACACATTATGTAAGATGGTGTCTCGCTCACGAATAAAAGAGAAAACGTACGCTGTGTATTATCCAGCATCAGTGCTCTTGACGTCGAGCACTGCAACATTAATCACTCCAGATATTAAACAAGTTATGAATTTTCTGTAAAAATTACCAATTAAATTATTTATAGTGTTAGTAAATATTTTAGTACGTTGGTTTAGTGCTCAAGTCAGCTTAAAAATATTTAATTTTTACGAATTATTTTGTAATCGTGTTTAGTTTACATTATCTTAAACTTTTGACGTTTCACGTGATTCACAGTACCCATGGTCAACGGGAGACTGTGTGGTGTGTGTAGTTTTCACGTCAGAGTTACCCAAGGCTATTGTAGCTTAATAATTAAAAGCTGAAGTTAACCCATGCTTAGGCACTTATAATGATACTCCTCGTAGCCAGTTTGTTAAAATCAGTTTAAGCTTTTTTGGATTTGATGCCATCACTAGAACACTAAGCAAGTTACATGGTTACTTAGAAAAAAGGTTTGTATATATTCCAAATAATATTAAGTATTTAATACATAGTTAAAAAGTGATATGTCGTTTACAGGGTTGCGGAACTCCTACCAAGCTGGAGTGCGCCATTGTTTTTTTTATTGTTCTAATGATTCAATTTATATGCGATAATACTAAATTGTAAAATAACATAATATACTTTTTTGTAGTAAATAAATGGGTTCTTTATATAATTAATATTGTGTGACAGAATTAGCTCTTTCCTATCGTGATGCGTATGTGCAAATCGTCTGAGGAATGTTTACTGTTTGGTGTATTCTTTATATAATCAATACCCAGCATGAATTAAAGAAAACGTTATGAAAAAATAAAAGAAAATAATAATATAATTTTAAGTGTAATTTTTTGTTTATTCTCCTTTTCTAATAATGATGATGGTGAGGAACAATGTGATGAGTACCGTATTTCACGTCCGCGTGGAAGCTGTAATAAAAAATAGCTTTAGAAACAAAATCATCAAACAATTACATATTTCTAACTTAAAAGTAAAACACCTAGGAAGAATTACAGTTTCATTCGGATAGTTATAAATATGCATATATAATATGTTAGTTTTTAAGCAAAGAATAACATAGTTTTACAATATATTTAGAATTTAATTAAATATTAACATAAGATTAAAATATAAACAATATTAAAAAACCACGTTAGAAAAATAAACTCTAAAAACTTAAAGCACAGTTGTTTTAAATTTGGAATGTAGGTAGTATTATTTAAGTTAGGAAGGTAGGTCAGATGAAAATGTATATTAAATAGAAGTATTTAAGTATTAATGTTTCAATTTACAAGTAACATTCTTGCTAACACTGACTATTAAGGTTACAAAAACGATTTAAATTATATATTGGAGTTTTCTTTTATTATGACCTCAAACTCCAATTGGTATTCTACTCTATAATTGTGAAATATTAATAATATTTTAAAAAACCAAGGGTAACAGTTTGTCCTACTCTTAAAGCAGTTACATAGCAAACACATTAGGATTTTATATAAAGACAAATTATATAAATTATGTATTAATATTTCTTACCCGCTATGATCATCAGCGTAGTAGTCAACATGCCTAACTGATCCATCTGGTTGGTGAAGTGAGTAGTCTCCTTTCACAGCATCACCACTTCGGTGCTCGTGTTGTGACTTCATGTCGCCTGTTTGATAATCTTCTACTTTGTACTCGAATTCATATTTGGGATGAGCCTAAAATTATTCGAAATTCAAAATGGTTTAATTTCAACAATTCCAAAAGCAATAAATATATCAAAATATATTATGTTACAAAAATATTACATAGTAATCTACATGTCCATGTTCATGGACGTGCTCAGGTTTATAATGTCCATTATGACGAGAGATATGTTTGGATGAAATTGTGGGACCAAAATATTCTGCCATCACTATAGTGATGAGACCCGCAAAACATACCACCTGTAATATTTATATATCTTTTATATTTTTGGTTTGGTAATTAATATACAATAATATGAATAATAAGAAATAAAATAAGAATATTTTGAAAATAAATGACAACTTAAAAGTTCTTACCTTCGGGAACATTTTTCACTTTTAGCTTTAAGTGGTAGTTACTACACGAAATATATTAAGAACTGATACACGTTGAATAGACTTTACCACTTTTATAATTAAAACACTTGCATGTAATCAAGGTTGAACTGATTTCACTACTGATGGTCTTGTTTAATTCTTGGTTAGAAGTTTGTAAGAAACTATTATAATAATTAAGTTTATGCGCTTCTTAAGCTAATTTGTTCTATTTCAGTAATTTAATCTGATTGAGAATTCTCACGCCACAAAAAATATTTGGATAATGCCCTTAAAGTTTACGTTTTAATAGAAATATATATATTTTTACGCAGTAGTGTAAATCTATGATATATTGATATAGTTAAAAAAGAACATGTCATAATATTGATTGCTAAAAATTAATAACTGAAATTCTAATTGTAAGTTTTTTTTATATAAAAAATGATTTAACAATATTTTTAGGGGCGTGAAAAAGGAAATGTATGTGTGTATGTAAATTCATGACATTTTGTCTTTTGGTTAAAAAAAAGAAAACGTATTGTAATATTGTTGGAAATAGTCCCATTTAAGGGTTAAATGGGACAGGGGTTAGTCTACTCCTAACTTTTTGACATTACCAGTAGGACTAGATTAACACCTATTCTTCTGTCCGGCGAGCAGTTTTGCGAATAGCTCTGGGGACAGCGCAGGTCGTTTTGATCCCCAGGGCAAGTCTTTTCCTATTTCACGTGGTTGCCGCTTGTTTTTTGGTCTGGTTCGATAGGAAACATAACTTTTATTACTTTGCATTCTTCCGCTAACTAATTACAATGATGTGTATTACCTGGATTGAAGAGCCCTCCCGCCCTCCCTCAATTGCATGCTAACTCCGTCACCACTCGTCCCAGCACCACTACTCCCAACACCACTACTCCCGGCACCACTACTTCCAACACCACTATTCCAGGTAAGACACACCATCGACGACAATACGATACGTGTTTCGCCTCTACACGAGGCATCCGCAGGTAATGTAGACTCTACGGCGACTGACCGCTAAGCCTGATTCTATCAATTATTTTCCCTTTTTTCTTTTCTTTTCTTTTATCCCACACCCTTTTTCCTATCCTATCCTAATCCAAGGTGTCAAGCGTACCGTGACTGAAGGGAGTCCAGTCGCAAAGGGTGCCTACAGGAGACCAGGGTGATTCGGGTAGTATTTTAGCCCTTCCCTCTGCTTACGTGGGTCTGCCGGGGGTAACAGAAAATTTTCCTAGTTAATAGTGGGACCAGAATGGACGAAAATCGACATTTTGCAAACAATAATGAAAAATCTACTCCAGTGGAAGTCTCTTTAGGTTTAGAAGAGGCTCTTTTATAGCCTCACCAATACCCTGCAATACTACGCCCCAACCTGGGACGGGCCGTGAAGTGGAGGGCCCGTCTGCAGCGAAACCACAATCGGAAATGAACCAAGGAGGGTAAAGAAAAAGTTCGCTGTTCCTTATAAGCCTAGTGGGGCAGCAAAGAAGAGGTATTGAAACACCACACAGCCTGGGGAAGCACTAACATAAATGAAAGAGGTGACTTACTTTATTATTTTTTCATCTCCAACCGCCTGGTAAGCCTAAACTTAAGGTTTATACCAATCTTTGTTACACGTGCTAGGCAAGAAGTGTTAGACATAAACTTTGCTACCAATAACATGGCCAGGCTGATAAATGACTGGCATGTTAGTAGTGAAAACCTGATGTCTGAACACAAACACATTAAGCTTGTGATTGAAGCATCACCAACCTATGAAACCGTTGCTTTTAGGGATCCAAAAGCGACCTCCTGGGATATCTATAGAGATTATTTGAGCCTAAGGAGGCATTTGGAAACGTTTCCTAATAGCATCAAAACGATTGAAGGTCTGGAGTTAGCGATGAAGACAGCAACCGTAGGTATCCGTGAATCCTTCGAGGACAGTTGTCCCGTCAAAACCAAGACCTAAACATGGTGGAATACTAACCTAAAAGAACTTAGAGAAAAGACCAGGAAACTATTTAATAGGGCTAAGAAACCCAAAGTGTGAGATATTTATAGCGCAGCCCTAACTAAATACAATAAATAAATTAGGAAAGCCAAGAGATCATCGTGGAGGAAGCTATGCGAGGCAGTTGAGTCTTTGCCTCGCAGTGCAAGACTACACAAAATGCTATCGAAAGCTAAATCTAATCAGATCAGGCTTCTTAAAAAACCTGATGGTAACTTCACTAATAGTGAAACAGAAACATTGGAGTTCTTAGGGTCATCCCATTTCCCAGGGTCACATAAGACTTTAGCCTTGAATTCTTTCAGAGCTCTACGAAGGCCTTGTAATGAGGACTGGTGTAGAGCTGCAAATATTAAGGAACGGAGTTCTTTTATAAAATTTTTTTATCTTTTTTTTTTCTGACCAGGTTTGACCTCATTATATTTGCAGCTCTACACCAGTCCTCATTATAAGGCCTTCGTATCCAACTACAGAAGGGTATCGATATCCTTCCGGTGAAAATCTTCAGAGCAAGTTTTGCATGCGGATATACCAGAACGATGGACAATTGTCAAAGTTCTATTTACACCTAAGGCTGGTAGAAAGGACTACGATTTACCAAATTCCTTTAGACGTATAAGCCTATCTTCCTTTTTTCTTAAGACATTGGAAAAGGTTATAGATAGACATATAAGGTGGGTATCTCTAGCTAAGAGGGCCATACATTACAGCCGGCATGCTTACTGCAGAGGCAAGTCTACGGAAACAACCTTGATCAGTGTTATTAGCAGGGTCGAAAAAGCACTAGAAGATAAAGAAATAGCTCTTTGTGCCTTTCCAGATATTGAGGGCGCCTTCGACAGTAGCCCCACATCACTGCTGATTGGGGGCCTGACATCTCAAAATGTTGACCCCACAACCATCAGATGGATAAATTCGATGATCTCAAACAGAAAGGCAAAAATAGCGCTGTTTCAAACTTCGATTGAGTTTGCAAATACAAGAGGCTGCCCAAAGGAGGTGTTATGTCACCACTTTCTTTGGACTCTTGCGGTTGACCAACTATTGTACACGATGGCAGACCTACGCATTGATACACTGGGTTACGTCGATGACCTTGTGATCATTGCGAGAGGCTTTTGAGAAAGTACTTTATCGTTAATGGTACAAAGAACCATAAACACCATAAATAACTGGTGTAGTGAACAGTTTATCAGTTAATGCTGATAAAACTGTTATAATACCCTTTATCAAAAAGAGACGGTTGGACAAATTAGTCACACCAAAACTCAATAGAAAAGAAGTACCATTTTCCACTGAAGTTAAGTACTAGCGTAACAAACTCTCACCTTAGTAACGTAATAAGGCCAAATTTTCGTTAGGTATGTGCAGTTGTTTGGTCGGGCACAACTGGGACTTAGTTTTCAGTATGGTCCTATAACTGTACAGCAGCATAGTGCAGCAGATTCTCACCTACACCTCCACTGTCTGGTCAGCCTTGGGCTAAATAGTCTACAAAGAACTGCCTGTTTAATGGCAACTGAAGCTATGCCATCATCGCCTAGAGCGGCTCTTAATGCACTTCTATGCCTAACGCCCCTTGATCTTTATCTAGACAAGGAGGCGAAGGTCAGTTTGCTTAGGATTAACACCCAGGGCGGTTTGAGCTTGCAACACCGGTCTCGCGCATGATCTCAGATATCTTGCGTCCACTGTACACTTTTGATAAAAAGTATACCTATCCTAATCCAAGGTGTCAAGCGTGCCGTGACTGAAGGGAGTCCAGTCGCAAAGGGTACCTACAGGAGACCAGGGTGATTCGGGTAGTATTTTAGCCCTTCCCTCTGCTTACGTGGCTCTGCCGGGGGTAACAGAAAATTTTCCAACTACCCTCCAGAGAAAACTGTCTGAATGGCCAGATTATCTATGAGGTCGGTAACCTCATATAGTATACCGATGGGTCTAAAATGTGTACCCATATTCAAACTCAGTATGAATTTGGGTAGATTCACCTCTATCTTCCATGAAGAAATTTTCACTACACTTCAGTGTGCGGAAATCAATCTGCAAAAGCACTACGTTAACCATATAATTTAAATAAACTCTGATAGTCAGGCAGCACTACTAGCGCTGAGGTCAAACTTATTGAACTCAAAGATATTTGGAGACTCTGTGAACCGTTTAAACGCCCTGGGATGTAACAACAAACTTGCACGGGAGGAATCAAAGAGTACACAATTTGGAAATAAGCCATTTTGTGGAATCTCAAGAATCCTAGCCCGATTAACCTTTGAAACTCTTTTTCACAACAAATCACTTAAGATCTGGTCTGACACACCAGACTTAAAACGTTTTAAAACTTTAATCCGGACTTTTGATCGAGCCCTGACTGGACATTGTTGTCTTAAAAACACATGTCCATCCTAGGACTAATCCACACAATAACGTGTCGGTTCTGTTCCTCTTTGAATCATTATGACTATGACTATGAATAAACTTATAGATTCAGTAGCTAGAGCCCAAACTATTAAATTAAAACATAAATTTCCAATTTTATTATAGTTATTTTCGGGAATATATCTATTATTTTTAAAATATCTAAACATTCCAAATTTGATTTGAAGTGAATTAAGTTTGAAGTAATTAGAAGGTATTTGGAATTTATTTACTGATGATTAAGTGTATATATGATATTACAAAAATTATATTAGGTGAAAGATAACATAATTATTTAAGACACAATTTCGACACTTTTTATTTCTAAACATTGGCTTGGAAATTTTAGTTTTCTGGGATCTAGTGATTATTTATTTTTATTAATTTAAGTAGAAGGTCACATTAAGATCAAAAAGTAGAAAATAATATAATTTCTCATTTTAATACAAAAATAATACTAGGTACAAGATAAAATATTTAAAAAATCTCATAATTTGTTCCTTTTTAATGCTTTGGCAAAAAAGAAATCAGGAATAGATAAATCATTCCTTTATTTGTGGGGATTAATAGTGGTGATGCTTGGGTACTATGTGATGGGTGCTGTGTTTGACATCAGCGTGGAAACTGAAAAATAAAAAATAAAACATTATATGATACGAAAAATTGTTTGAAATAGATATAATATTATATTATTATTTAAAATCATCAATCCGCCAACAAGCCTTAATGTAAGATTCTGCATAATCAACACAATTTTTGATTATAAGACCAAATGCCTCATAGTGTTGACCGAATTTTTCCTTAGGATCGGTTTGGACACTTTAGTTATCTGGTATCCTTTATTATAGTTAGGGGCATATATTAGATAGAAGGACTTACGATCATTTAGATAAAAACAAACCGAAAATCACACAATACACTTACCCGCTGTGATCGTCAGCATGATATTCGACGTGTCTGACGGAACCATCGGGCTGGTGCAGCGCGTAGCCACCCTTCACGACATCACCGTCGCGGTGCTCGTGCTGCGACTTAATGTCGCCCGTATGATGATCCTCTACTTTGTACTCAAACTCATATTTTGGGTGAGACTGAAAAAATACATTTAAAAGAAAAGATAGATTAGATGAGAACAGATTTTATTTTTTAAACACTTGGCAACAGATAAGATATGTTCTCGTCACGGAAGGGATAAGATATAATTTTTTAATTTATTAATTTAAGAATAGGAGATATATTTTAGGTTAAGTGGCTCTTTGTTGTTGGTGATATCGGATTCGGGGAAGTTTGAACTAATTCAGCAATCTATTTAGAGTCATATTATAAAAATACACTATAAATATATTTTTTTGCATAGTGAGGATATCTGCAATAGAACTGGATCAAGTAACATACCTAAATGGATTATTCAGCTAAAGAGCCAATAAGTTGGCCTAATAGCTCTGATAGCTAATATATAAAAGATATGAGTGAACCTCATATTCTCAAGCGAAGTATAGAACAACTCCCCGCTGAGTGAAGTGCGTTGTCACTCAAGCGTATATATGAGTATGTATAGTTGCATAAGATAACCATCAGATGAACTGCAAGCTCTTAAGAAGGGCGTCAATGAATACAGGTTGCTAGGACAGTGCTTTATGATAATCTGTAAAGTAGAATCTATAAAGTATATATATATACATATTAAAATACTTACGTGATAATCATGTTCGTGGCCGTGTTCATGGTGTACTATGTGATGATGTCCATCGTGACGCGATATGTGATTCGACGAAAATGCATGGTCGTAGCCATGAATATGTACGACCATCATAAATGTAAGAGTTAGAGACAACATCTAAAAAAATAATTTAGTCAAAGTTTTAATTAAACTTTTTCAATCAATATCAAATATTTAATACTCAACAGATATAAGTTATTAAATTACCTTTGAAACCATTTTGCGTACAATTGACAACTACTGTGAAGTAACTGGTACCTATAATATGATTAGCAGCACACTGATAATTTTTGTAGAAAACACCAGTCTTTTATATCCCTTTGATTGTAACTAAATTAACGACAATGAATGTTTTCGTAATACAGCAATTCTCGTAGTTTAGTTTCATTTTAAAATTCCGTGATCAATTGTAATTTGATCTCTCCGGCGTAAAGCGTTATTAAAATGGGGTTTATGTGAACTTAAACATTACGTGCAAACTACGCAAACATTGCATGTGTACTTTAATGTTAATATAGTTACGACTAATTATTCAAGACAATAAAAAAGCCAAATTCCTGAAAAAAATTCGAAAACTTAAGTTTTTGATATAAATTGATAGATTTTTAATTTTATTTTTTCTATATCATTGCATTTAATTAATATTTTAAGTTACAACGTTCAATTTATATTACAAAAATTATAATAAAGAACTTAACTAAAATAATAATTAAATTTATAATATTAAAGATTAAAACTAATTATATACAACATAAAAGAAGAAACTATAATATAGAAAATCTAAAACTAAAAATTTAAATCGTCAAAAAGACCTGCTCCCGTGGTATAGTGCCAAGAACGCTGGCTGCGTTTCCTTGCTGAATAGCTATACTTAGCCTTTGAGCGAGGAAAGAAAATTAAAATTTTTAAATTAGAATTTTTTAACGTTGCCTTTTTTTAAATGTTACATGTATCAAAGTCTGTCACAAATCGGCAAAACCCGGCAAAAAACCGGCAAACCCACATCATATTTCAATCACATTCACCACTACGTATTGGGAGGGGCTGTAGCCATAGGACTTTAATGGCTCCTTATTGCATGACCCATTGCATTTGACTTTTAATTTAAAAAATAGTTTCATTTGCAGGGTAAATCTAAGTTAGCCTCAAAGTAAAGTAGCATTTACATATAATGATTTTCTGTAAACATTTAAACTCAAAATCAAATTGTAGCCAAAAGTAAGTTGGATGATCTCCATTAATATTACAAATACTTTTAAAATATTACGTGGTAGAGCCATGCTGCAGCTATACTACTGGTATAGTTGTAACAAGAATGGGTCGACTCGACTTGGAAAGGACCACGCTCTCAAAAAATAACAGCGTCAAATGGCAACTTTACACTGATGTGTTTTGTTTGATGAGTGTAAAGAACCGGATACCCTTTTTACTTAAAATAAAGCATTCCATCTCAGTCCTCACGGAATCCGCGTTTTGATTCTATATTGAGGATAGACGTAGATGTCTATGGGCTACAACAACCACTTACCATCAAGTGGAATGTGTGCTTGTTAGTCACCCTTACACAATAAAAAAATTACATTTTTGTAAAATTATTCCAGAACTATTTTAACTGTTCCTTTGAGGTGCATTCCGATTACTCCGGTACATAAGTTATATTATAGCTTTAAGTATGTTGTAGTTACCGGGCACTGATTATACGTGGTCGAACGCATTATGCTCTTGCAGATAAAGTTAGTGAGTCTCCAGTATAGCTCCTAATCTAAATATGGTACTCTTGGCACTGATATTAACCATTGCTTTCGGGGAGCACACAAGGATAAGAATAACTGTTGTATCTAGCCTTCCTCGATTTACAAAACACTTTTTTGAGCCTTTAGTAAAGATCTTGTCTAATCAGGTCTAAAAAAATTGTAAACATATGTCGACGTTATCTGTCACATCTACCTAAACTTTAAATTCAATAGTAAAACTGCTGTCGGGGTAGAGACTAAGTTCGTTTCTGTTTAGTGGTCACGGTTACACGCTTATAAATATAAATGGGTGTGTCTAACCTGTTTCACACCATTTTCTCTCCATTTTTCAACCTGAGGTCGCTGTCTCCCAGCGTATTCTTCCTAGTAGTGTCCGTCTTTTCTAGCAATGTAAATACATTGCTAGAAAAGACGGTTATTCCTTTATGCAAGCGAGTTATTATTAGCGCACATGAAGGCCGCAGATATTTTTCTTTATGCTGGCTAATACTGTAACACTATATATAGGCTAACATCAACTTTTTATTATTATTTTTGGTCCAATCTACCCAAAAGGAGCTTATATTGTATTGAACTAGGCGGGACTACTCTAGTAAGGACTAATCTAGGCGCCAGTTGAAGTATTAATACTTTTACCGAAGCTCACTGATCTATTAGCAGTTGATACAAATATAAAATTTGAAAAACATAGAGTTCTGTAAACAAACATTTTTATGCACTATATACTCGTAAATTGGACTTTTTATAGAGTATGGGTGACAAAAGAGTACAAATTCCAACTGATGGAAAGTGGACGCTGTGACCCACAGACAACTAGGTGTATTTTCAATTTAAAATCAAAATGCAGATGTGTTATCACCTTTGAGGGCTACGGTGGTATGCCTCATCCTCTAATATGAGTTGCCGGTTCTCTACATTCACAGCAGAATTAAGTTTCTATTGTATGCTACCAAGAAAGCACCTTCCTTTTAGGAAAGCCCCGGTTGAGCAGACTCATTTATGCTACAACCGTAATATAGCTGCAACGTGGTATTTTATTTTATACGATTAAGCTATTATTTACGAAAACGAATCAATTGACAACCACATTTTTGGGAAGACAAAAGAACACACAATACAAATATACACTATGTCATTTATATTAGATATCCTAGAAGTCGGAGAAGTCAATAGTTGATGATACAATACACAACGAACCAACCATACCTGTAGAGCCAGTGTCATGAGAGTGTCAGATTCTGCACTGCATTTACAAAAGCGTTACCAATAAAAATCAATACTAATAACTGAACACGCTTTGTGAACTATAACATGACATCAGAACGTATCGTGACTTTTTTCTCTATTCTAGAAATTTGAACAAGTGTGCTGACAAAACTTATTGCACCTCGCTCTTTACCTCCAGAGCTGAATATTGGCTCTTGGATACTCTTGTGACTTAGAAATCCGTGCCTTTTGACAACTAATGGGTGGTAAGCGTAACTACTGAGTGTTGTATATACATATTTATGATATATACACCAAAATTACTAGTATTATTATGAACGAAATGTATAGTGTTATATTTGAACTGTAACTATTTGTATAGTGCTCTATTTCCTACAGACTACAATATATTCAGTATTCACATTATATAAGAAATTCTTAGTTATTGAGCAGTCTAAGAACAAGATATAAATTTTCGAGAAACAAAATATATTTACATTTCAGTTTACTTATTTTTAATTTATTAACGTTATAGGTAATTAATAATATACTTTAAATAAAATATGACATTTCCCATAAAAGCTCAAAACTTGCTCAAGTTTTTTTACAATATTATTTTATTTAAAGAAACAATATACCACGTTCCTTTTTGTAAACGTATATTCATTAAAAAAATTTTTCGCAGTCAGAATCCAAGCATATAGCTACATAAATTTACTTACGTTAGTTTTGGTCCGACTAAAATAAAAGGTAAACGAGTTTAGTAGTGTGGTATGCGCATTTACAATATTACACTATCTTGAAGATTTATCAAATTTGCTGTTTGTAACTCTATAATAAATTAAATATAAAGCAAAAAGGTAAAAATTAATCCTTTATATAAAATATGAAAAACACTACAATTACATATCAAACATTATAAAAAAGTCTTTTACAAAATGTCCAAATTGCAAGGTGTAAAGATTGCAAAATCGATTTTTTTCTTCTCATGTAAACGTCATTTTTTGAGTTACGATGTTATTCGATTCATGAGTCGAAATAGACCGTCCCCAACATCTAAGTAACTTTAATTTTAGGGTATCCAGGATACTACCTAGTTCCCATTGTTCCACTTACCCCTTCATTTCATAGTTCTTTAGTTCGTATTTTAGCACGGGAGTAGCCGAACTGATATTTTTCTTCTTATACAGGTTTGTATTTTCTCTTATTTCTGAAAGGTTTTAGGGGGGGTGATTGTCTTCGAAATATTTAGGGAGTTTTCTCACGATGTTTTCCTTCATCGCCAAGCACGTGGTAAATCAGCACTTAAAATTGCAATTTACAATTTCATTGGTTCTGGTGGGGATTGAACCTGGCTTGCTCGCGTATGTGAATATAAGCATTATAATACAATAATGTATTTTTTTTAAATAATTATTACGTATATATACTTATATAAATCACTAGTTGCTTGGCGGTAAAATAACTTTTTTATGTTTTTTCTTAACATAATAGTTAAATTAAAGTTTTAATTGTGGCTTAGCGGTGTTTAACTGTAATTAATTATGCAATCAGTTTAAAACTATATTATACTTTTAGATTTAGTATGTTAAATTGTAACAATTGCAGGTGCACACCTTTCAAATAACGACATTTTAAATAAATTAAAATAAAATAGTTTAATCCGGAAGTAGCTTTGTTATATCTGTTAATGGCATGAAAAAGTCAGTATTGCTAATATCGGTATCGAGCCAGTTGTTTCCAAAATCTATAAAAAATAAGATATTTATGCCGTATTGTTGCAAACATAAAACTGAAAATTATAAGTTGATCAAGCTGTAAGCAAATCATCTGTTTTATCTTAACATTTTTGAGTATTTATAACTGCAACATCAAGTCAAAATGCTGTGAACCAACGAAAATTCACCAATGATAATATTTTAAAACATTCATGCATTAAACCAGCTCTGCATATAATCCACCTCATAAATAAATCACCTGGTCGCTCGCAACCTTAAGGGTTACATATATCTAGCTGATACCCGCTCATTTTGCTTGGCGCACAATAATATTTTATTGCGGTACCTAGATGTAAAATATTAAGGTTTTCTTGTTAGTACTCTAGCTACTGCAGTTTCGGGTCATTTATAGGCAACTTCAAGTAAAGAAGGCTAAAGATGTGTGATAAATAGTGAAGACTAAGATAGATCGCCCCACATTCCGTAATTACACTGGCTCCCTTTGCCCTTTAGACCGGAGCACATCGGTGCTATCACTGCT